TTCCTTTTTTTTAAATTTTTTTCTTTTTTTTCTTTTTTTTTTTTTTTTGATTAAAAGTACTGCTTCGAAAATGTAAGACTTTTGCTTTAAATACTGTCCAAAATCTAATGTCGTATTGGTTACATTTCACACTAACACCCAGATATATGTCTATCATAAATAACCAGTGGAGCTACGGTAACTTATTTTTTGCGTTTCATTTGGTAGCAGTTTCTAAGCCGTTAGAATACATAGAAATGTCATGTATAACGAACTTATCGGTTGACCCATTTCTTCGCCGATTCTGTCCAGTTAGATTCATTTTCATCCTCCTTTTCACCGTCTGCTTCTTCCCTTTCGCCTCTTTCTTGTTCTTGCTCGCTGGATGGGGTGGCCGATGGCGTTTGCGAGATATTAACATTGCGTGCGCGTAATTCAGCCAGAAAATCATTTTCTTGCTGATAACGTCGCTGAAGCTCTTCTCGCCAAGAATTTCCGCCGCCGCTGCTATCATCGCCATCCTCGCCAGCCTCGAAATCTGAAGATAAGGAAATTAGATTCACAAGTTAGTAAATTCAACAGTTTCATAAATCATAGAAATTAATTTTTTTTTTTTTTTTTTTTTTTGTTTATTCAGACGCGTGAATTAATTTTATTCTGATCCTTTTTGGTTTTTCTTTACGCAAAAAAGGATGCTAATATGTACCTATAAAATTGATGTTGTATGTATGTATATACTATATCTACTTAATGAAGATGTTTAATCCTAATTAATTCTAATTAAATATTAAATGCTGGATATATTTTTTTTATATCGACACTATTATTTACAACAATAGAAATTGAAATGCAATTTCAATTCAAACAAACTTACATACGGACATATGTTACAAAATATTTATAAAAATGGAATAATAATCGATCCAGCTACTTCTAGAGAAAATGACAGAACGTAGGTTTTTAACTAAAACGAAAATGTACCTGATATTTGTAATTCGCTATTAATGCTTTACTTTCTTAAATAACAGACACCTACGTTTACCAAAATGTTTACTTAATATAGTAATTAATATATATATATATATATATATATATATATATGTATGTATGTATGTATTTATGCAAAAAAAAGCATGTGACATAATTATTTACTGATGCTTGTGAGGACGTAAAAAATGACGAGAATATTGAAAATTTTAACAAACTCTTACCTAACGGCTTTCTGATGTTAATTCGGCCAGAGTTGTGAGAATGATCCTCCTGGTCTGAGTCTGCAAGGCACCAGGATACATTCACAGGGGGTGCATCACACACATTCCACAACACGTCTAAAGTGTCATTTGTATACGAAAGTATCTATCTTTTCGCCAAAAATTTTAATACTAATGAAATATCTTATACAGAATATTATATAGAAATTGATATATTTAAATCTCAATGAAATATTCTTATGTAAATGGCGTAATTATTATAATATATAATATCATATCTTTTTTACTCTGAAACTTTTACAATATTTAAGACAAAAGAAATGAGTTTGGACACGTGTAACAATAAAAAATGAAATGAAAAGTTGTTTTTGTTCTATAGTAAATGCAAGAACAGTAATTGCATAAATTGAATTTGATTTAATTGCAATTTATTTTTATATCATTTCTAAATCATAAATAGAATTATCATTTATTTTAGAAAGAGCATTTGCTGTTTTTACGTGTAGTGTAGTCTGTGCTATTTCTACACTAAAATTTGCTAAATCTATACTAAGTAAGAGAAAATAAGAGTTATAACAGGCAAATTGTGTAAGATAGGCAGAAACTAAATATTTACATCTGTAAGTATGTTGTTAATATTGGATAACATATATGTATAATATATATTTTAAAAACTTGCATAAAACAACAGTGTATAAAAATATTTTGAATTTCTAAAACAAACTTAAAAAATCAGTATTAAGATATTCAAATGTGAATTCTGAAAGTAAAATCCTCCATTTCTTTTTTATAAATTTTGCCAATTGAAATAGTTATTTAAAAATACTGTAACAAATTAATGTGTTTACTTATTATATGTACATAAAAAAATGATACATCATTGTTGTTTTAAATACGATACGCAATTATTTATTTTACATATAAATACTTATAAGAATCATTTTTCAAAGAATATTAAAACATTGAATATAGTTTGATTTATATGATTCATTTCAATATGAACACATGATGTATGAATTGTATTTACCTTGTATTTGCATGTTTAGATTCATAATAAATTTATAAAATTTTGTTCACTAAAAATGGATAGGGAAATGCATTATTACATGCTATAAAATCTAACGACGTGATAGAAGAAAAATACTGCCAAACATGCCTGTTTACACTAATATGAACAACAGTATGAGAAAAAGATGTACATGTATACGAAAAACATTTGCTTGAAACAAGTTATTTTGTATTACCATAAAAACTTTCTTATAATCAAATGATTCAAAATAACATGAACGAAACAAGAACATACAATATTGATAGGAACTTTTAATATCTCAATATTTTAATTACTCACAAATATCTTTCCATTAATGAATTTACGTAACAGTACGCTAGTTTTAAACGTATGAGATTATATGAATTAATTGTTACCTCCTCGAGAGTTGGCTATAAACTCTTTAATTTTATAAGGGCTAATGATTTCTATATCTTACACCTAATCCAAATATACAGTTATCGTAGGCCTAAAATGATAGAGCTAAATACAAGTTTTTGTGCCAGTTTTAACTACCAAAGTATTTTGCATTCATTTCTGATGCAAAGTATGTTAAAATTTGTAATACAACATACCCGAATTTAATTCCCTCACGAGTGTCGACATGGCATTAGTAACACTGTCAGCAGCTACCAATAAGTCATTTCGTAAGGATCGGCCCAAGCTATTATTCGCACTGCTGGAACCACTTCCTGGCAAGCTGTTTGTCCTGAACGCAGACCTGACATCGAAAATCTCTATTTTCTTTGCATAAAGCGACCTCCAAATAAAAACTAAATCAAGGTCGTGACATGCCACGCTTATCGTGCAAGCATCTAGAAAATTTTTCATGTGTCTTTACAATGAAATCAAATGTCAGAATATTCGCAAACCTTAAATTAACAATAGACTGACAGAAACATGCAATATGAAAGTTTTATAAAATAAATTTTATTTCTTTAAATTTATAATATATGTCTTTTGTGTTTTAATCGTTATCTTTTACATGTTACTTCTTGAAATTTCAGGTATTTATGACTAATATTCTTTGTTGCAACACTTCATTCTAATTTTTGAAAAATATAATTCTAACGTCGACGAAATTTCAGATTTACTATTAAACTACCTATATAATTAAACTTATTAAGTAAATATGTTTTGTAGATTTCATAAGAACACCTTAAAATAGAGATAAGAGAATATGTACGACTAAAACTAAAAGATAGTTAATGCATAAAACTATTTTAATTTATTAAAAAAAAATAATATTGGAAATAATTGTACAATTCTATATAAAGGAAAGTATAACAACATTTTTCTAATATATAGTAAAACATTTCAACATGCTCTTTAAGACACATTAATATCAGTTGTTGCATTCTATATAAATACACATGCCTGTAATATTTCACAAATTAACTGCAATGAAAGAAAATTAAAATATAATTAATAACATAAAACTATAAAAATTCAGTAGAGCCTAAAAGCTTTTCAAAATAGCAAAAAGCAACGACTTATAAATATAATAATCTTTTAACAAAATTGCAATCAAAATTTATAATGTAATCAATGTAGGAATATTTTAAAATATAAAAATTGATTATTCAACTAGTACCAAACTTATCCCTGTTACTAGCTGATCAATAAAACATTCTCATATTCACATGCAACAATCAAGGGTGTGAGAACTGTGCTGATTCTTTGCGTAAAGTGCAGCTATGATCTCATTATAACTAGCACTGTGTATTTAGAAGAAATCAATTTTAAATAAATGTATATAAAATAGAAAGAGGCATAGTAAGTAGTGTTATTTTTTTTAAATTATAAATATGCTGTAAAATATGACTAATTTCTTCATACAACTTAAACATAACTTCTTAAAATTATATAATGACTGTTTTATATATGGCGTAAAGTGTACAATAAATGTCGGCAATATATAAAATTTTGTTACTTTTCGTATAAAAGTGAGTTCCTTCAATACTTAAGTACGTTAAAGATCTTTATACAAACAATTCTTATATAAGAACTCACAAATCTATCAACATGAAATAGTACTAAGAAAAATATTAACAGAAAGAAAAAACGAATTTTTCTTCTTTTTATAAATATAGTAATTTATGCATTTAAAATTGATCAATATATGTATATTTAAATATTTCTTTAAACATAATTCTCAGCTAAATTCAAGAACGATTTTTAAATCATTCTGTAATATAATAAAACAGTATTTTATACAATGATTGTAATTTCTTGTTTTTTTTTTTTGCTGCCTTGTATCTTTCTATCTTTGATTATTTTTTTATTGATTTCTAACAGAGTTTTCATATGCCCGCCTACCTTACGTCGCCTCCAACACATGATAAGTTATCTGGAATAGGATTTTGTATCGTTCCCAGCATGGTATTATTGGTTACGCTCGTCACTGATGTTGTTGGAACAGGACTCTGATAGCTTTGAGACATTTGTTGTTGACTTTGAGACTGCTGCTGCTGTTGCTGTTGTTGTTGCTGTTGTTGTTGTGGTGTTGTAGAAAGTGGACCACCTGGAGTTGGCGGAGCTGATCTACTACTTGGTACTGCACCAGGAGGTAAAGGTGGTGATTTTGTACTTCGTGGTGAACTATTTGGTGTTGATCTTGGAGATGCTTGGTGGTTCTATGATAATGCAAAATTTTGAGTATTATTGTTATGGTATTATGATAATAAAATTGAAATGTTAAAAGAAAAATTGTAAATTTTTCTTGAAACAATACCTTTAACATTTTCATTAAACCTTCTAGCTGCACCATTAATTGCCTTCTAGAATCTTGTAATGTTGCTAAATGAGTTTCTAATTCGTCTTTTCTTTGCCTTAAGGCTCTTAATTCTGACATAAGTGCAGGATTTTCCAAACCAGCTGCTTCTATTTCTTGTTGTCTCCTACAGTTAAAGTCAATGTTATAAATAAATGAAAAAATGAAGCTGAAATATCTTTTGAATTAGATATTCCATTTTATTAGCTACAAGCTGAAGTAAGAATATATTATTAATGTGGTGTCTGTGTGTGAATCTAGTGAGTCTATTGGTTTCAAAAATTATAATATCAACACTAAATGTAAATAATTTAATAATAATTTTGTCATATCTTCGAACGAGATAGATAAACTTCAGTACTTCAAATTTATAGTACAATGTAATATGATGAAAACTAAGATAACTAAAGTAAGATATAGAAACAATATGAGATTCTTAAAAAACTAATGAAGAGAACGTTAGTTACAAGCAGGATGTTACCAATGTTAGTAATGACTTTGGATTTGACAATCTTTTTTAAGTTATTCATAGAATCATATAAATTAAATATGAATTTAATTGCGTAGAGAAAAAAATGTATTCAT